CCTCTTCCTCCTCTTCTTCTTCCTCCTCTTCCTCCTCCTCCTCCTCTCCCTTCTCCTCCTCCTCTTTCTCCTCCTCCTCCTCTTCCTCCTCTTCTTCTTCCTCCTCTTCCTCCTCCTCCTCCTCTTCCTCCTCTTCTTCTTCCTCCTCTTCCTCCTCCTCCTCCTCTTCCTTCACTCTGGTTATATACTTTGGGGTAAGTGACAGCCCCCACCCCTCATCTTTTCCCAGTGTCCTCTCCCCAGCCCTCACCTCTATCAGCATCACGGCTAACTTCACTGTGTGAAGCGAACTATTTTATTCAAGCGAGAGCCTTTCCTTCATACCCCCACACTATCCTTGTTCACCTGCTCTGTGATCTCTGCCACTCCCAGGGCTCAACCCTCACTGGCAACTACAAAGCCTATGCCTCTCCAGCCTCCAGCTTCATCCAATGACTATCCCACCACGCACTTTTTGCCTTCCCTCCCACCCCTCAGTAAACTTTCTTACCTTTCTTTGTCCCAACCCCTCTAGCTGCTTTCTTCTCCCGTAATAAAGCCATGGGGGCGGGGTCATGTTCCAACATCCCTTCCCCATCTGCCAGCTCCACCTCCTGGACACACCCCCGACCTTTGACCCATCTAAACATCACTCCTGCAGGGATTGCCTTTCACCCCTTTTTCACTGACTTTCCTGTCCGTTTATTGCTAGCATTTGGCCTCAGAGATGCAGCCGAATGGATGAGGAGTAAGTCTCACTGACCGAGACACACAGGGGGTCCCTCTCTTTGCTCACCCTTTGACCTCCCCCTCTACTATTCCTCTCCACACTCCTCTGGCTGGTTTGCCTCTCAATTTTCATTTTCTTGGTACCCCGAGAAGGCCTGTGGCTTTACACACCACCATGATTATGGCATTTCCTAAATTTACACCCCACACCCAGAGATCTCACATGTCCCCACTACTTGCTGCTTGATCTCACCTTTGGGTGTTATTATTTGAATCCAACGTAGTCCAAAGTGAAGCTCTGTCTTACCTGCCTGCCCTCTGAGCCTGCTTCACCCACACTGTCAATGTCTGTAAGTGACATAGTCACGTTTTCCCTAATGGCTTCCAGTAACCCGATAATGCTTGTGCTGACACACTAAAGCTCATTGGTAATTTCCTATGACTACCATGAAACTATAATGAGGTTGAACATGGTCTCTCCATCTCCACGACTACTACCTAGAGCCAGGAGCTTCAGGTTGTTGTGAGAACCTCACTCTGACATCTATGTTTCCAATATGGACAGCCTCCTGTGCATCCAAGATAGCGCTGTCAAATATAAACCAGATTGCATCTCTTCCACTCAGAATCCTCCCGTTGTTCCTATCAGAATTCTTCCTATTTGTAGACATGATTCTCACATGCCAATGCCATGTGCCGTGTTCCCAGTTCACCACACTCCACCCCTGCCCAGTGATTCTGTTTCTCCACCAATTGCAGGAGTCAGGAGAGTATGGGCGTGCCTCACTCTCATTTCTTCTGCAGGTTTCCCCAATGTTCCTTTCTCAGTAATTGCTTCTGGGATCTTTCTCCTCAGTCATCATCCCCAGGACTTAGCACCAAGCGTCACGTGGCCCACAGACTCTGTTCAATGCTTCTCTCCCTGACACACCTGAATATAAAGTCTGCTTTGCATATTTGTTCACTACCATGTTCCTAATAAATGGGAAAAAATGTAGTTACATGTCAGGAAGCCATCTGTTAAGTAAATGCAGAATGTTGGTGGTATTCTCTTCTATGTTCACAGTCACCCTGGCAGTAATCAGCTGAAGATTCCCTGGGTGTCCTTAAAGCAGGGCTGTCCTCCCTCAACTGGTCCCAGCTTAGGAAAGGGAAGCCATTGCAAATGCTATGGGCAGGGTGATAAGGAGCTCTGGTCACCAGCCTGAGCCTTAATGGCCTCCTGTGAAAATCTGTGCAACTGTTTCAGTCAGTGAATGCTCTTTTCTTAGAACTTACAGTGTATGAGTTAGATCATCTTATATTTTTTATGCAGGAATTTTTTTTTTGGTTTGGTTTTTTGAGACAGGGTTTCTCTGTGTAGCCCTGGCTGTCCTGGAACTCACTCTGTAGACCAGGCTAGTCTCGAACTCTCAAACTCAGAAATCCACCTGACTCTGCCTCCCAAGTGCTGGGATTAAAGGCGTGCGCCACCACTGCCCGGCTGTAGGAATGTTTTTAACTGAAAGCTTTTTTTTTCTTTTTTTTTTTTCTTTCTCAATTGGTGTATTTTCTATTTACCACAAAAAGAAAGAAAGAAAGAAAGAAAGAAAGAAAGAAAGAAAGAAAGAAAGAAAGAAGGAAAGAAAGAAAGAAGGAAAAGAAATACATTTGGAGAACTGGTAACCTTAGTTAATGAGATAGATTCTCTGTTTTTGCAAATTACACATTTAAAATTGGATATTAAATAAAAATAGAAAGCTCAGACCTCTATTCTGAATCTTCAATGTTATATTTTTTTCATTTATAAAAGTTTTCATCCTCTTATCAAATATGCATTTTTCTATAGAATTTTCTAAACAATATATTTAACATTCCAATTTCCTCTACATCAGCCACCTGGTGCTGTAGCATGGGAACTAAGTGTTCTTCAGATTATCAGTATCGTCTTTTAAATAATTTAATTATTTTATCATTATAAAGTAATTGCTATTAATACTTTTAACATTTAACTAGATAGCAGGTTTGAGGATTACCTACCTAAGGGGGAAAAAAAAAGACAGGAAGGATGTTCTGTGCTCTTGACATTGCCAGAAGTAAATTTAATAATAATAATTAATAATAATAATAATAATGGATAGTCGTTGAAAATTCCTTCAGAAGGCTTTTGCTTACAGTACATCATTGTGAATAAGGAAGGAAGATGCATGGCTAGAAAGTTCCTTTTTATTAAAAGCAGTAACTAAAGCTGGCACTAGGGGGCAGTACACAGGACACCTGGGACAGTCTCTGGCCCTCCACAGAAGATAAGCATATGTGGGTGGCCTGGGGTCTTCTATCTCTTGTTTCTCCTCTAATTTGCACCCAGCTTCATCAGGCCCAGTTACAGCCATGTTGTCTTGCATAAAAATCTTAATATGAATTTAGTTAGAAAGAAACCGGGTCCACATGCTTCCAAAGGAGCAAGGAAACCAGAACAGCTCTAGCTCTCCCCGTCCAGTTTCCCACAATGCCCCATTTCTCACAATGCCACATTTCCCACAATGCCACATTTCCCACAGTGCCCCACTCCACACTGTGACGACCGACGTCCGGTCAGCTGTACACATGGGCACAGATGCAGTCAGGACCAGTGTAGTTTCACAAGCACAGAGGAGCACTCTGGCATAAGACACAACGGAAAGGGAGAAAGAGCAGGTTCAAACTCACACCTGTCGTTACTTTTGACCAACAGAAATGCAAAAAAAGATTCTAGGCTGAGAATTTTGGACCTGAAATTGCCGTATTTAGTAAGGGTGGTGTGATGGCCCGGATACCAGAGGCTATCATACCCTGATGAGGCAAAACTTTTAAACTTTTAAAAAGTAGACACCGTTGAATGAATTGGACATTACACTCCTAATAGTCTTCATCCTGAACTCATTTAGCAGAGGAAATGGATATCTTGTCAGACATAGATTTGACGTTCCATCATATTATACCATAAACAGGACTAACGGTGTGTTGGAAAGATGCATGCAAGCGAGCTGAGACAGCCACCACTCTGAGGCCCTGGTTATCTCATTTAAACAGATATGAACTATGGGCACCAGTGGTATGATCAACCAGCTGCTGCCCCATGTTGTGAATAAATTGCTTAGAAGGATCCTTTTGCTCACCAGATGTGACCCAGATTCAGATTTCGAAAGGTGGGGGGTCTCTATTGTGTTAAAAAAACAATTGCTGGTAAGATGCATGGTAAATGAGCTTATCTCCCTCTTCCAGGTGTTTGGGCTAATACATGATGGAATTATTGCTTCATTTATGAAAAATAGTTGAGGAAAATGTTTCAGCAAATCAAATTTGTATAAAGGCTCAGGAAAAGCTATTGTGCTCTTAGCGAGTTTTTTTTTTTAATGGAGGAAGAACGGGAGCTAAAAGAGATAATAAAAATATTTAAAAGTGCATTTGAGAAGTCTGTCATAAAAGGGTCAGACGTGGGTGTGCTGTGGTGGAGTGAAGTGTTGAAGAGCAACGGGAACAATTACAACGCTTTCAGCATCTAGGAAAGCTGCTTTAAAAAATAAAAATCAAAGCCTGTATGTCTGGCAGCTCTGATAAGTTGTATTATTCTGTTAAAGGCATGGGGAAATTTTTAAATGTAATGTCTTTATTCTGTCTTACCCACGTGCTCTCCTTTCTCTCTCCAGGGGCCGTTACTCCAAAACCTGTCCCTGAGCCTGAGAAACAAACAGACCACACGGTTAAAATCGCAGGAGTGATTGCGGGCATCTTATTGTTTGTTATCATATTTCTTGGAGTCGTGCTGGTCATGAAGAAGAGGTAGGCTTATAGCCAAAAGTGGACTCATTTCCACTGTTTGCCAGGTCACTTCTTGTGTGTATGAAAAGATCCATTTACTGGGTAGGCAGTGGTGCCCAAGACGTAGCTCTGACTCCATGATTGTGGACATTTTAAATCATATAGCATTTGCAGTTAGGGGACAGACATTTAGAGTAAACTTTTGTTTTCTGTTTGTTTGTTTGTTTGTTTGTTTGGGTTTTTTGCGAATATACAAAACACATCCTGCCAAAATAAATACAAGAGCTTCATTTCCTCCCATGGGATAATCTAAAAGCTATGATTTTGTTTTAGTCCCTCACAGTTGTTCAGTTCTAATGACTGACAGCTCTTGTATTTGATAAATTCAAGCTGAGTGAGAAGGAAGACTTCCCTCAGGTTATAATGAATATTATGAGGGCAGAATTCCTCAAGACAGCATCCTATGCTGGCACCATGCTACAGCAGCTAATCAATACAGTTCCCTGTGAGAAAGCAACCTTGGTGATCAGCACCCCCAAAGAAAAAGACAAGGCATCCACATGCGAAAGACTAAGTCATTAGAGCAAGTTCAATGTCATGGTAGAGTTCTGTCTGGCTGAGGGATCTCTTATTGGTAGAAGAGATAAGTAGATCTGGTTATGGTAAATAATTCTTTCTTTCCCTTGGAAAATATTCAATGTCTGCTTTTGTGTGAGCAAGTTGTTTTTTTTAAAAAAACAACTTAATAATACAATAGAGTCTTCAATTTATATAAAATGACAAACAAAAATATAGCTGATTGGAAGCAGTAGGTAGATGTTCTTGAACAGAAGTTGTTCATAGGGCTTGCTGCTTTGCTCTTTAGTTTAAATGCAGTTGTAATCATGGAGTAGGGATGTGGTCATGGGCAGAGGAGGTGAAGTAGGCAGGCTTGCCAGAGTAAGATCATATGAAGGTTATATGTGGTCCATCATGAAACCTAGCTGGTGTTGGTGTCAGCTAAGTGTTGCATTCAGATGTGAGTATAAGACAGAGAACAGTTGTAAAGAGACCATTGAATGAGGAGGGGACATCGGGAGGTACATTTCAATGGCTACTTGGAGAGCAAAGGAAAAGGCTAGAAGGAACTAGTTCTTCTTACAGCAAGTCAGTGGTGATGACACTGTTCATGCGAATGCAGAACAGAGGAGGACCTAGAAGACACTCAACAGCTGAAGAGAGACGACAGTTGTGGACATTTGGGGTTCAGAATTCCATGACACTGGTGTGTTACCTGGCAGATGGATATGCTTTTCAGACTAGAAATAATAATACCAACTCTGCGTGAGCTTGTAGAGTTCTAGGAATGTCCAAAATGAAGATAAGCCTTGTATGAGTAGAGCCCTGTATGAGTGAGTTCTTGTGCAGGCATGCGAATCCAGCTGTGTTCACCTTCCTGTTTCTTCCGCATGTCCTTTGTCTCTTATGTGTCCTCTGCCCTATCCTTCCTTTCCCTGCCTCATTTTAATGCTTATGTTTGCTTGTTTGCTTTTGTGGAATGGGGTTTGACTCTAGAGCCCCGGCTGACCTTGAACTCAAGATCTTACTACCATCATTTGAGTGCTGGGACTGTCGGAATGAGCTACCATGCCTTGCCTTCTTTGTCTTTGCCTTTTTACTTCTCATTCTCCCTCCTCACATGTCATACAGGCTTTGTTTTGGTTTATCTCTTTTTCCTTGTCCCTCATCGCTCATTTTTTTTTCTGGGTGATCTTTGCCTGATCCTTACCTCAATGTTTATATGGATACTGATTTGGGGATTCAGTGTTTTTCCTGTTGTTTTTAACATGTACCAAGGAAAACCCCAAGTGACAATAGGCCCTAAATATGAACCACAGGCATGAATATCATGCCTAGATATTCAAAACAAAGATTTCAAGATTTATTTTAAATTTTTTTTTTAAATAATTTATTTTTTCTCAAATCGTAATTAATTCACACAGGGGTTATAAACACAGAAAGGCAGGATGTGGGGAAGGGAATGACACTGGAGTGTGGGTGTTCAGGAGGAATACAGATCTTTCAGAACTGGGTAATCCAGCAAGCTCTGTGGGGAACAATTTGAAACATAGTAATCCAGTTACCTCTGTGACCTCAGCTAAATGCTAACTAATCCTCCAAGGGTCTTTTTTTCTGCTAGATGTGTTCATTTCTCTACCCAGGCCTCTCAGGTAGTCACAGGGCTGGTGCTATAAATTATGCATTTGAAGAGATTGCCTCTGGTAACATATGGCCTTGATACAACTTTAGACTAAAGACCCATAAGTCACGTCAGATTTTACATGATTATTTACTACACAATAATCTTAACAGGGCTGTCTGCACAGCATGCTACACTGCTGTATTTGCTTTCTCTGAAATAGAGAATGTGCTCTCCATAAGGCAAATTAGCCAACACACTCTGCCTATAAATGCAACGCTTTAAATTTTAGGCCTGTGCTACACGTGATACAAATTCTCAAAACTTGGAGTTGTTCAGGTTTTTTTTTTTCACCAAAATTCAAGTCTAAATTTGACAAGCACCATTTTTAGACAGAATAGTTAAAATGGTGCATGAATCATGCATTGGTCGCTGGGAGTTTTACTTGTGTGTAACGAGCATGTTTCATTATTTAAGCTACTGAGTAGGTCTTCCAAATACCCTTTGTTCATTCACTTCAAGCCCCATGATGTCAGCCGGTGAGCAGCTGGTCTTTCAACCACATTTCTCACCATGCCACAAAAGACCTTCAATAAATAAGGAAAAGCCAGCAGGCAATGAGGAAAATTGGGGAGAGGGGAGGAGGCCAAGAATGGCCTCAGGTGTGCATGTCTACACAGAACTGGCTATCTTTTCTACTAGGTGAAAATCAGTGTGATCAAATTTTGTGGAGATTTCTGTTTGTGCCTCTAGCCTGGTTTTCCTCTGCTCACAGATTTATTTCTATCATCTTATCTATCTATCTATCTATCTATCTATCTATCCTTCATCTAGTTACCATCTGTCTTCTATCATCTAGTTATGATCTGTCTTCTATCGATCATCTATCACCTGTCTTCTATATGTATCTATCAATCATCTATCATCTATATATCATCTGTCTATCATCTATAATCTATCATCTTTCTATCTCTATCACCTATCATCTATCATGTCTTCTATCATCTATTTATTTATCATTTAACTATCATCCATCCATCTACTATTTATCATCTGTCATCTATCTATCTATCTATCTATCTATCTATCTATCTATCTATCTATCTATCTATCATCAATCACATATCTACCTACCTGCCTGGTGCATTCATGGCCACAGTACAAGAGAAAGTAAAAGATTGAAACAAACTTCCAATATTTTTGGAAGTGCTACTGAGAATGTGTCATGCCGAGCATGAGCTCACTGTCTGTGATGCTCAGCACTCTAAGCTGGTCACCCTGGAGTTCTGGCAAATCTCAGCAATGGCACATGTCCTAGCACCATGCCATAAGGAGGCATCATCTGGTACTGATGTAGCTAACATCATTTGCCTTCTGGGAGGACAGTGCTGTGAATCAGTACTTGCTGAAGGTAGAACTTTGATAGAGAATGTGAAGCCTTTCAACTCACAGAACGCTTTAGCATAGAAGTGATAGTGACCAAAATCAGGCATGGCCCTGAGGGGTGCGTTACAATGTCCTATGACTCTCACAAATCTGTTAGGCTTTGCCTAGATCAATGATACGGAAGCTTTGCTTTTAAAGACCTTTGGTAAGACCCATACATTTACCTTCATCCTATCCATGGGCAAGTCCATATCTTCTGTCCCTACCCGAAAGGACATGTGTCCCTGGCAGTACAGTGTTTGGGGACAGCAAATGCTAAAGAAGGCTGCAAGCTGAACATCTAGAAAATGGAGCTTTATGCAGAGCCTCATTGCAGGTACTCTCTTGACTGATTCTCAATAATGCAAATCGGAGGGTTTTTTTTTTTAATATATTTTACTCTCATCTGCTTTAGTACATTTGTGTAAATAAAAATACCTGCATTTTCAACAGTTTCCATAAGGGATAATTTATCTAAATATCAGTCTGACAGACTTTAGTATATCACCACCACTGATTTTACTGTGATTAATTATATTTGCTGTCGTTTCTAAAATTGCAGCAGATCTTACCTAAGTTTGAGAGCGTTTGTATTAATTATAATTACATTCCTGTCTAAGCCACAATGCTACATAGCAATCTTAACAGTTGTGACTGTTCAAAAATGATTAAAGAGATATATATTATTATATAAAGTAGCAAGCAGGAGCTATGTTTTATGGAAACACCTGTTAGTGATATATATATAACTATCCTAATCCTGAAATGCATACCCCTGCTGCCTGTCTATGATGCAATTAGCAAATGTTCATTTTACAAATGAAGCAAATTATAAAATGTTGTTGAAACAATGCTAGTACTACCCGGAAAACAATTCACAATAAAAATGGAAAATATTTCAGTAGACATCATGAAACAAAAAAAAAAAGATAAGAGGGAAATTTTAATGAAAGTAGTGTTTTTCAAAGAGACACTTGACGTGTGTGGCTGGAAGCAAGCTGGTGTTGACTGTGTCTCCCACTCTGCCTTCTTACATGGGGGTAGATTTCCCCCAACTGTAGCCCGGTGTGAACCTGTATGTGGAAAATGTCCTAAGTGTGATATGTAATTCAAATTCTAGTTTCAAAACCACACATCACAAATGAACACAAAGAAGTATGTATGTCCGTGTCTTCTTTGTCAGTGGCATATAAAATATGTACATTTAGCCTTTGTTCATCTAAATAAAGACCATAGGTAGAGAATTTTGTACTCCAGCACATGCATTGGCTTGCTTGAACCAGAATAGATGTGCACACCAGTGTGTTTAGCCACATCTGTTGATTTCCCCAGTCCACCCATCCTATAGGTTTCCCAAAAGCACAAAGGAAAGCCAACCTTCACCCACTAGGATTCATTATGCAGAAGACTGTGCTTA